GTGCCAACCATCCTTACTCATGTGTTACTGGGTTAATGCAGGTAATGTCTGCAGCTTAAAGTAGGGTCCTGACCAAACAGAAGGAACCTAATGAAAGGACCTAATGGTCAGGGTTCTGGGTCTCACGGGAGCTGGTAGGAGATGCAAAGAAGCCTGGTGACATCCATTCACCTAACTACATAGTCCACCTGGTACAAGAACACCGTTTTTGGAGTTAGACTGGTTTCATATCCACTGACAAGCTGCACATCCCTGAGCTAGTTACTTAACTTCTCTGTGCCTTAATTTTTCTGGTCTATAAAATGGGGCCCAGAAAGCCGGTATAAGGGTTATATATAAATAGTTAACCCAGTCTCAAATACACTGTGCATGCTTAATTAATATAAAAGAATAAGTACAAATTAAAAACATCACTGTTATTTTATACTCAGTACTAGCCTGCTGGGGCTGAACTCTGGCTGGCAAAGACTATCCTTTCATCTTGTTGGATATTAACCACAACTTTTTGCACCCTAGTTTCTCTTACCCTGTAACCCCAACCCCAGTCTCTCTCTTGAATTTCTCATTGTGATCCCAAGGAAACCAAGGGACCAGACTCCGATGTGGTCAGAAAGAGGCCTGCCCTGCAGATGGCCCCCATCACCTCTCCCCCGTATTTTACACGGAAAGATCAGTTTATCTTCTCAGCATAACCACAGGCCCCAAAATCAGGACTGTGGGCCGTGCGTGCTCACCAGAACAGTCCTTCACCGAGTTCCCTCCTGCACATAAAATCAGATGCCTCTACTATAAAAAAGAAACTGGGCGTCGTCACAAAGCTATGTATCACCAGAATGCTTCCTTTCAGGGCTAGAACCGTTTCACAGAAAGAAAGCATATTTGACTTCTGAGTAGAGAACCTAGAAGCCGGTGGCTGCTCCTGTGGCTTTTCAACGGTTGAAGCCAATACTTGGACATTGCCAAAGCATGTCTTTTTTTCCTGGAGAACTGAGTTACAAAATACTGGTTTCTATTAGGGTGTGTCTAGCACTTTCTGTGCCGCCAAGCCTGCCATTTTTTATAGACTGCACACTAGATTTTCCATGAACAGCCTTAAATTTATTCCCAGGCAGTAATGTTTAGGAAACCCAATATGAACGTGAAGATTGTTCTAAGGCAGCCTCAGAATTTGTGTCATAAAGAGAGTATTTCTGATGTATAAAAACATAATGTGTATTTTTGGCATGCCTTAATAGATGTGGGGCAAAGGGTAGTCACTCTTCTGATATGTTTTCTTGGATTAGGTTGCTAGGGGAAACTTAAAAAAAATTCTTCTCTCGTCTTTATTTCTATACTTGTACAGAACATAGCCCAAACACCCACCTACACAGGCATTTTACATAAAGGGTTGGAAGTCAAGTGACTGAAAAACACAACAAAATTATGTATATAGTGTTATTGTTTTTTCTAGAGATTTACATGTGAATTCAAGTGGGAGCCAAAGGTAACTCTGGAGGAAAATAAACCAGTTAGAGAACGCGCTCATGGGAAGTGTGACTATAATTTGCTTTTGCTGACAAATAAAAAAGCAGGTGCTATATTTTAAAAGAGAAATATAACATAGTAAATAGAGCTTTATGTTGACATACTCATAAACATTCTCTCACCATCTCTGGGAACTTACATGTCGGCTACAACCACCACCACGGCACCCAGTTTTATGTTTTGAGGAAGACAGTCGTCTTCTCCCAGGTGGCCTCTCAGGGGGACCCCACCCTCAAGGGCCTCTAGTTATAGAAAGGCTTCCATGAAGCCTTTCCACCAGAACCCCAGACCACCCTGCCCCATGCTCCAAATCATGCACTAGTTATTGCTGATGCTGCCCGGCCTTGCAGATCCTGTTTTGGGGCGGGGGACGGGGGGTGTTTTGTTTCCTTAACATGGCTGCAAGCCTCCTGAGGGCAGAGCCACATTTAATTTCATGTCTGCATGCCACCAAAGCACCCTGCACCACCCTGATCACAAAGCAGATGTTCAACCAGTATCTGTTGGATTGTGTAAAGATTTGGGTGCCAAGCTATGAGGTCTAGATAAAGTTTACAGCTCAACAACTATCCCCTACACACTGCTGGATGACAAGGCTGGCATCCCCAATGAAACATTGCAGAAGAATTTTGGAGGCCACCTGGGTGGATGCTGAGGCGTACTGCCCAGGTTGTGCCTTGGGAATGAAGGCCCAAACACTCCACAAACTGCTGGGAGCACTGCCTTCAGATGGCCCTTAGCAGAGGGAAACAGCTTCATCCCAGGTCACACCCTGGGACGGCCTGCATGATCACTGTATCATCCTATATAAGAAAAGCCTAATATGCAAATTGTTCAACCAGGAGTTCAACCGCTGGCTATGATGTGCGCTGACCACCAAGGGGCGGCGCGGCGCTGGCAGCAGGTGGCAGTGGAGGCACTGCCGCCCCCAATGGGCCCCGACGAGAGTGGGACCGCAGTGGGATGGTGAAGCAGGTGAGTGGGTGGCACCAGGCCAAGGCGGGTGTGAGCAGAAGCCCGATTGCCCTGCTGATTGATTGCCCAGCTGATCGATCGCCCTGCAGATGGTGACCAGTGGTGGTGGCGGGGGGCGGGGCTGCCGCCCGGCTCCCAGGCACTGAGGGAGCTGGGCTAGGGGTCAGGGGGAGGGACCCAGCCCCAATTGATCACCCTGCAGGTGGGATGGTGGAGCAGGTGAGGGGGCGGTGGGGGGGCCAGGCGGGGCTGCGGGGCTTTGAGGCTGGGGGCACGAGCTGGGGCTGCAAGCTTGGGGGCGCGAGCTAGGGCCCAATGCCCGCAGGCCACCCCGAGGGACCCCACCAGTGCACAAATCCATGCACTGGGCCTCTAGTTATACATAAAGGCCTGGCCCCTCACCGCAATGTAGAACAGTTCGAAGGCCTATTCCAGCTCCAAAGCATAATGCTTTGTTGGGTCTGCTTTACAATCCAGTGTCTCTCTGTTTCTCTGAGACTGCTTTTGGGATCAAAACCTACTAGATCTTAACCTGCATCTCAGAGCCTGCTTCCTGGGGAACCAACCTACAACAGCATCCGTACATCTACCTACCCGTCCAGCATCCATCTAGCTAACAACCTACCACTGTGTTCAGGGCACATGAGTAGGGTTGGTGAGAGGTGAAAGAGACTCAGACCTTGGCCTTAGAAGAGTTCAGGACAAGAGATGAGACATATACAAAAATAACCATGAAGCACACAATGGAAAGTGGCTGGTATCAAGAGAGAACCTAAACAGAGATGAGGCTGAGGTGTAATCCCAGCCAAGGAGATCAGGAGTCTTCATGCACTGGCTTAGATTGTGGTAATCGGTATATGTGTCTTCTCCTCCTACCTGATCTCAAGCCCTGGCGGACAGGGTGGACTGTGTCCTTATCTCTCTCCGCTCCCCTATACTTTCCAACACAGTGTCCTAGTCAGTGCCAGAAATCTTAAAGCAATGAAGCAAAACCAAACATGGAAGGGAAGCTTTGGCAGTTCCGCTTCACTGGACAGGTTTCTGGCTGTGTATCTGGCCTTATAGTGCAGAGTTCTCAGGAGGCTCGTCAAGATCTCATTTATTTATTATGTCCATAAAAATCTTGGGAACATGAAAGCACAAAACAAGGTCCTGACCCTCAGAGCAGCTACAGCCCACTGTGTGGACAAGGCAGAGGCCCCTGAATACGTCCACAAACAGGAATAAAACATGGGACTGGGACTAACAGCCAAGCGGTACGTCATCCCCAGGAGGTCCCTGCCCTCAGTTGGTCCGTTCATTAATCGTCCTTCTGTGGGTTGACAGAGGTTACTGAACAGCCGCCTCCAGGAACCTAACAATGAGAATCAACAAACTCCAGAACCTCACCATCCCAATCATGATTTACTGTCTACAGGGGGAGAGTCCCTTTAAGGCAGACATCGCAAAGTTCCTGACGGGAGGAGGGGCTGGGAGTGCGTCTCCTGCATTTCCCCGCCCTCACCCCTCTTAACACGGCAGTCTCCTCCACTCTCCCTTTCACTGCTTTTGTGCAATCTGTCACCAACTTCAGTTTGTTCCTCTGAAATGGCATTTGCATCCTTCCTCTTCTGCCTCGCCTTAGCGCTTAGCACTCCCACCCCCTCTGATATTGTGCCCACACCCTGGGAGCTGAGGCTCAAACCTGGGTCCCTGTGCTTCATGTCAGTCAAATGTGGCTTCTGCAAACCCACTCCCAGTTGGTCACATCTCTGCTCAATAGTAAGCCCAGGGGATTCTTTCATCACTATCAGGACCAAGTTACTAAGACCCTCCTATAAGTGGCCCTTCCTACACTCATCTAACTTTATTTCCCAGTACTCCCCAGTATTGTCTCCATTCCACTCACCTCCTTGTTTATTTGTGCCTTTGCTCAAGTGGTGTCTGACTTTGAAAACACCTTTTCTCCTCCTGGCCACCAATCGGGCCTACACACTCCTTGCTACCTTGTTCACATGGACCAAGCTTAGGACCTAGGGGGTGAACTGTTAGGAGCCTGCTGTTTTCCACTTCCTTTATTGTCTTCAAGTTCTGCTACCACATCTGCACTCCACAGCATGGAAATGCTTGTCTGCAGTACCTACCCAGCCGCAAGGATGCCCCGTCAGCTTGGCTGCCCTGGACCAGCTAGCTGTCTGCTTTTAGCTGGGTAGACTACCTTGGTCTCACAAGCCAGAAAGGGAAAAAGCTGACATTGCTAATGTTTACTCGCTTGTTGCATCTTTGGACAGACTCTCAATCACTGCGGAGTTAATAGACCAAGCTCTAGGGTTTCAAAGGACAGACTGCCAAGTTGGGTCTCTGGAGTGAATCCAGTGTTCCATAAACTCTGCTTCCCTCCTAATCATAGAAAGAACCATAAAACAAGAGAAAGGCTGAGGCGCTGCAAGCAGCAGAACGACACAGAAGCATCATCCTGTGCTTCCTGAAAAACAGAAAATGCAGATTGAGACAGATCTCACCCCCGCTTGGCCCTCCTATGCATGGTGGTGCTAGATGAGAGATCTGCTGGTGCTGAGGAGATCTCCGGAAAAGTCTCTTGAAAGGGGTAAAGAGTAAGTGGTCCTTGGAGATGTCCTCACTCCTCTGCCAATTCGTGACTGGTGAGATGGGCAAAAACGGGAGAGAGATCAGGTGAGTACTTCCTGTGCCTACTGCTATCTTGAAGGGAAAAATGTGTGTGTGTGTGTGTGTGTGTGTGTGTGTGTGTGTGTGGCGGGGGGGAGAGGGGGGTGAGGAGGTTACACCCTCTTCTTCTATTTGAAGTGGCATGAAAGTGGCTAATCTCCAGGTTACCAGGTGGATTGGGCAAGGGGTTCTCTGCTTTTTACAACTTTCCCTAGAGTTAGAGGAAAGGGTGGTGAAAGCAGATTTAAAATCCCCATCTTCATGCCTTGCGCTGGAAGATGATGAGGGTGAAAAGAGGTAAATTAAAAATAATCTACCCAAAACAAACAAGCAAACACACACACACACACACACACACACACACACACACCACCTTGGAGAGAAAATTTAAAAAAAATCTCCTTAGTGGCATTAATGTGATAATAATGACAACATTATTGTTTTACAAATGCCTATGGGTTTACATTTTATAAAAACACTGGGGCACATTATTTAGAAGTGTTCTTATGCCACATAATCCAATCAGGCGGTAATCAAAATAGCAGCTACACTTTATTGAATGACTATCAGGGATACTTTTCATGTGTTATTTAATCCTCACAGCCCCTTTTGGTACTATTGCTAACCCCCATTTTACTGAGGGGGAAACTGATGTTTGGAGAGGCTAAGTAACTTGCCCATCAGGTAGAGATTGAAATCTAGGTCTTTCTGATTCCACAATCCAGGCTCTTGACCTGAATAAGGCCCATTTTAGGGCAGGGCTTTTTCACAAGTTCAGGAAGGGCAGGGCACTGAGGAGGAAGGAGCCCTTATATGGCAACTCCCTATGAAATAGGTATGCTCGCACGTGTGCGTGTGCACACACACACACACACACACACACACACGAGCACGCATGCACACACACGTGCACGCCCGCACGCACGCGGATATCCAAGAGGTCCACTTGCTCTCCTGTCCATCTGAGTTAAAACCCATCCAGCTTGCGCAGGTACAGGTCCACACTCCTTACACCAGTGGTTCTCAACCTTGGCTGTACATTGGAATCACCTGGGAATCTTTTTAAAATCCTGATTTCTGGGCCTCATCCTCGGGAAATTCTGTTCCTTTGTTACTACTGTTGTGGCTCCACCCCATAACAAAGAAACAGAATTTCCGGAGGATGAGGCCCAGAAATCAGGATTTTAAAAAGATTCCCAGGTGACTCTAATGTGCAGCCAAGGTTGAGAACCACTGCCTTAGAGGGACAAAGGTCAGCCCCTGTGGCTAACATACCTGTCATTTAACCTGTATCTGAAGCTGCAACAGAGTTTCCATTTGACAAGATGCAGCCACAGCAAGGTGGTGAATAACATCAAGCTTTGAAGCTTTGTCTCAAAGAGTACTTTTAAGACTGAAAATAATGAGTGAGACAGCATACCATTTAGCAGAGTGGCTCATGGCATTCAAATAAATGTTCAACTTGTGGGATCCAAGCACATGGAGAAAGAAGTGACTGTAGAAAACAGTGAGGCACAAGCAAATGGTGACAGCTCACAAGAGCTGGCTGCCCTGCTCTTCATCTGGCCGCCTGACTTCAGTGGTGATGTTTGCTGTTAGCTGTGCAGAGGCCTTCTGACAGGGACATGAGCACATTCAGACACTCAGCGTTGGGCAAGGCTGGAGGGAGCAGCAGCAAGACGCTTAAGAATACCCTACTTGCCCCTTTCACCTAAGTACTAACTTTTCTAGCATGTCTCCCCCCCAACCCCCCCCCCCCCCATCCTTCTCCTCCTCTCCCCATCAACCCAAAGGAGATCTTAGGGTGGGCCTGGAGAGCCTGTTAGTTCCTGGGATTTTGAGAAAGTAAAGTGTCAGTGTCACTGCCCCCCACCTTTCAATTTTGAAAATATACTTAGATACACACAAACACACACTGGATCTTTTAAATGATGTGAGAAGATCCACAAGTCACCTGTGAAATGAAATCTTAATGTTTCACAGCCACAGAGACATACAGGTAGGCAAAGGGCTCATGTTTATTATTTATACCTACCCAAAGCAGGGAGCCCTGGCGCACACACACAGGAATCCTCACACACAGGCATCTTGGCGCTGCCACCTTTCCTTCCTGCAGCCTCTTCCCACCCACCTGAAGGTGTTGGCCACAGCCGTCCTGTGAGAGGCTGAGGGGTGCGACCCAGTGGAAAAGGACTCTGTCCGTGGCTCCTCCCTGGCTGTGAGATGTGGGCAAGCTATGACAATCACCTGGCCAGGTGCTGTGCGGATGAAGGGGAATGATACATGTAGGGTCCTTCTCACAGCGCCTGGCGCGGTCCTGCCTGGTTCCAGAGCCTTCCTTCCCTGCACCCACTCTCGGCTGATGGTGCCCTCTTGTCACTTGGTCCCCTTTCTTAGGACACTGGTCTGACATTGGGAAGAGTGGGGACTAGTCCGGGGCCTCGGGGCTATACCAGGTGGGACGCAGCACTCAGGTCACAGGTCTGCTGGGGAGGGCTGGCCTTCAGGGTCACACAGAGAGCGGCAGAAAGGGCACGGGCACGTGCGCGGGTGTTGTCTCCCGGGCCTGGACTCCGGGGCGGAGGGCAGAGCCAGCCAGTGGAGGTGGGCAGAGCCCAGCAGTAAGTCCACCCAAGGCTGTGGGTGGCTTCATCCTGTTGCTCAGTATCAGGGAGAGGCGGGGGAGGACATTCATTTTTTCCCAAGCATCCACCCATCGCTTCAATAACTATCGATTGTGAAAAGCTGGCGGTGCCTCTTCCAGGCGAAGCCTCTTCCAGGCGAAGCCCGGCCACGGCGCGCCCCCGCGTCTGTGTTCCGGGGACCCTCCGCGGGACCTCCTGCGCGCGTGCGGGACAGGCGGTTGGGCTAACGCTTCTGCACGGGCTGGTCCAGCGAAACCGCAGCCACTAGCTGTGGTTTGACCCCTGCTCGTCCACCCGCGGGGTATTTCTTCCCCGAGTCCCCAGTCATATCCTCGCCCCGGGTCACCTGCTCCGCAGCGGCCGCGTCGCCCCGGATTGGAGGACGGGGTCAAGAGCTCGGAAAGTAATTTCAGAGGCAGATGTGCTGCAACCCTCACCGTAGCAAACTACAGGTCCCAAACCCTTCCCCACCCCCATCAGCTCCGGAGACCCGAGCGCGCTGCGGGAGCCCTGCTGCACCGAGAGCTACACGCACATGCACCTCCTTTGCCTCCTAAAGAAAAGCCCTAGCAAACTCCCAGCGCGGAGCAGTTGCCAGTCCCTGCCTGGAAGGGACCCAGCTGCTGGGGATTGGCCTCCCGCCTGGCAGCTCCGAGAAACACTCGCGATTTCCTGCCCCGGCCTCTCCTCTCCCGGTCCCAGCCCTCCCGGCCGGGCTGCCGCGACCACTCAGTACCTGCGGCGGTCGTGGGCTCGCCCTCACTTTGCTCGCCGGAATCCGAATCCATGCTGCGGGCTGCCGGCTGGGCGTCCACCGCCTCCTGCCCGTCTGCGGGGCGCTGGGAGCCTGCGTCCCGGCTCGGGCTGTCGGGCGCAGTCGGTGCGGTCAGCCAGGAGGCGGCGGCCCGGGAGGTGCGGTCTGGACTATGCGCGGCGGCCGCGGCCAGGAGGCGGCTCCGCAGCGGCGAGCGCCGCCCGCTCCCCACTCCCCGCGCCCGCCGGCCGGTGCCTGCGCGAGGGGAGCGCGGGGCGGAGGGTGGGGCGCGCCTGGAGAGAGAAGGGAGGAGAGGGGGAGGCGCGAGCGGTTCGGAGCGGGAGCAGCCGGCGCCTCGCGGGCCCAGACGGGGGTTAAGTACCCCGGGGGCGGTGCCACTCCTCCTACCGGCGCCCGGACTCCGGGAGCGCGGTGAAGTGGCGCGGTGGGCGAGGCCGGTCCCTTTTTCTTGGGTGTGGCCAAGTTTGGAGGATTCTTAGGTGAAAAGGTGCCAAATAGGAAATTGTGAAGTTCCGAGTGAGAGGGAGTCAGGGCGCTCCGGTTCGATGCGACTCCACCGATTATAGACCTTGGGCGAGTGACTCAACTTAGGTCTTTTTCCTCAGTTGGGAAATGGGGAAGAGGAGAGTTTCCTTTAGTCCGGAATGTTTTGGGGGAGTAAATAGGATAATGCAAGCGAGGGTTCCAGGGAAGTAAACGACGCCCGGCAAGTAAAGCGAACTCCCCAGGCGTGCGTGGGGCAGGGTGGACCAGCCGAAGGGGCGCCGGTTCCCAGCGCTGGGAGCCCTGGGTCACATCAAAGGCAGGACCCACCCTGCCAGTCTCCAGGGGCAAGAATTGATTTTAAAACCTTTTCTTTGCCTTTAACACAGTGTGCTAAACTTCCTCAATACGCCCTCTTTCCACTTTCTTAAAAAAAGCATTTGTAAATTTATTCAGTAAGTAAGAGACTAAACTAAGGGAAAAAACACACGGACCCTCAGGAGATTGTTAATTGTTGACTATCCACACAGCCTTATTGTCTCCCTGAACTATCACCTCCAGCAACTGTGTAACACTGCATATGAAGTGTAGGCAGAGAATACAGACTAACGTGACTGACCGAGCAAAATGAAATCAGGAAGAGCAGTCTACTAAAAAGCGCCATTTATTTATTTATTTATTTATTTATTTTTAAAATATATTTCTTTATTGATTTCAGGGAGAAAGGGAGGAGAGAGAGATAGAAACATCAATAATGAGAGAGAATCATTGATGGGCTGCATCCTGCTTGCCCCCTATTAGGGATCGAGCCTGCAACCCAGGCTTGTATGTGCCCTTGGCCAGAATCAAACCCGGGACCCTCCAATCCGCAGGCTGATGCTTTATCCACTGAGCCAAGCTGGCTAGGGCAAAAAGTGCCATTTTTTGAGTGTTTCCTACTCGCACTCCTACAATGATCCAATGAAAATTTTAGGGGAAGCCATTTGAAAATGCTTTGTTGGAGGTCAAAAATAGTTTCAAGTTGGCAAGTTTATAGAATTCAATCTATACTGTTATCTCCATTTTATAGATGTAGAAACGGAGTCTCCTGTTCCAGTAGATGACTTTCCTGTGGTCTCAGGTCCAGTAAGTGGGTGAGCAGGGACTTGAAGTCAGGGCTATGCGATGTCCAGGACAGCTCCTTAGGGTATAGTGTCACAGGTGGGTTTGGCCTCCCTGTTACCTGGGGGCTGCTTCCTTTAGTCAGATATGGGCTTCGCAGATTGCAAATACAGCGCTACCTTGTGTTCTCAGAAGATGTGTTCTGGGTGACCAAACACACGGACTTTGGTAAAAGTTACATGGATTTCAATGGAGGGGTGGGAAGAGCCCCACCCTAAATGTGTGGTCTTGGGCACATGGCATAACCTTCCTTAGTTTCCTCCTGTGTTGGCATCTCCTTCATAGGGTGGTTCTAAGGGAGTAAATGAAACAATGACTGTGGAAGCTCTTACCCAATGCCTGGCACACAGCTTATGTCTGATAAGTGGAAAGAACATTCATTCTTAAATCTAATCGATCCCGTTTAGAGAAACAAATATTTAAAATCACATTTTTAAGTGACAAGAAAAAATTCATAGCAACATTTGGATAAAAAGTTGATACTCAAAAACCAAATAGCTGGGGTCGTTTTAAAAGTTTGCCATCAGAGCTTTGCAGTCTTAAGGCAAAACAACGACGATAGTGTCAGAGAACAGAGCATATTGGATGGCAAAGGCATCCAGCTACCTCTAAATACCTCCAAAACACCTCTGATCACAGCAATAAAGGAAACAGGGAAGCTCACTGCTGGAACTCGGTCAATAGTAAGCAAAGCACCAGGAGCGCACGCTTACGATACACATGCCCATCAGTCATCAGATCTTCACTGAGTACCTAGTACTCTTCAGCCTAGAGATAAAATGGGGGTTGGGGGTCTGCTGGTCAAAGTGATCCTGGAAAGTCTATGAGGTGAGCTTTCAATAAGTAGCGATCACCCATTTACCTGTTCCTATATTCAGTCACAGTGTATTTCTGCAAAGGAGGCAGACATAGAATGAAAAATTGAATGTGGAATTAAACAATGGAGAAGAGAGATCCAAACTAAATAATGTCCCCATTCCAATTTCCGATGATATGCAATCTGTTGTCATGGGATAGCAAGACAAAAGGAAATGACTGTTGGCATGCATGTGTGTTTAATGAGGAACATTAGTGGAACATACCTTATCTGTCCTCTCCCAGTGTGGAAAAATCTGTATAAGAGAAGGAAGTCCTTAAAATAGTATCCCACGACCATCACCCCCATGAAAACAGTGAAATCTGTGGTTGGCGAAGCTCCTTTACAAACCAATCCTAGTATATTTCTTTAAAAAAGGAAAGAGAGAAAAAGCTCTTAGAAAAGAGGAAAGGGTTTCCGTAGTTCCTCTGTATATTTTTAGAAGAATGGCATCACTTTGCCGACTTGAATCTAGAGTCTGAGGGTTATAAACCACTTTCCTCAGTGTTTCCACTACATCTTTGCAGCCTGGCTGCTCTTCAGACACGAGTTTCTAACTCTTATTGGTCATTTCTTAGCTTCAGCCAAACGAAACTGTTGGCTTTTTAAGGAACTCGCCTCTCTGGTGGGAAAAGCATATCTATTTGTAAGGTATCAAGAAACAGATAATAAAATAGATCCATTTTTGCCAGCACAATAATACTTCTTCAATCTGAGCCAGGGCTGTGACTCATCTGCCTGTCTCCTCTTGTGGGATGGAAAGGGAGCTGTCTCCAGACCTTCGGCAGGCAGCTGGGAGGAGCGAGGGAGGTTCCTCTCACCAGCTAGAGCTGCTGCTCTGCTTAAAAAACCCACATGGCTCCGGAACTGCGTTTCTCTGGGCTGAAGTGGCCCTTGGCACTTCAGGATGAGAGGTTGGCCAAGACAACTCCATTTTTAATAACTTGTCTCAAGGTGGATGCTGGCACCAAGGAAGCTTCTGCCCAGAGCCAAGGCCGCCTCCATGGGGCTCGAGGCAAGCTGGGCAGCGGGGTCTGAGCTGGCTTCTAACCATCTGACAGAACAAGGTGCCAGAAGGCAGCCTTTAAAGAGTGGGCTTTTCCTGTTTCTTTCCGGCTAGCAAAAATAAGTTTTATTGCCCCTGCCCCGATTTCCAATGCAATTCACACCACTGTAGAAAAACGAGAAAACACATATAAACAATGAAAAATAAAAATTTAAAATCCATTCATAATCCCACCGGCTACAATAACGTATATATCTTTCGAAAAAACTCTCTCTTTGTGGTGTATAGCATTCTACTTTTGTAACTTGCTTTTTCCTTTGAACAATATGTTGTGAACATTATTCCATCCACTCTCTGACAACATGGCTTTTAATATCTTCACAGTATTCTATTGTACACATGTATGGGTATACCATAATGTATTTAAACACTCCTCTTTTGTTGGGCATGTAGGCTGTTTCCAATTTTTTGTTAATAGAAGACAGCATCAGTGAACATCATCATGTCTAAATCTGTGCACACATCTGCAATCACTATCTATGAACCTTCACCAACCGCATTTGGTCTTGGGAGAGAGAAACAAGACAGAAAATTGTAGCTAACAAAGTAATCATTGTGAATATCTCGAGACTTTAAGGTTATAAAGAATTTTTATGGACATGATCTCCTCTCAGCAGAGAGTGGTTGTTTTGGTTTATTCTTGCCTTTATCGAGCATTGATTGAGCCCGCAGGGGGTTCCTCGAGGATGAGGGGTGGAAAACTTCCTTCCACATTTTTATTGTGGGCGCTGTGTACGCTGCACAGCCCCATCCAAGTCCAGACACCTTGTGGGAGGCTGGCAAATTGGGCATCAGGCTGTTCCCTCAGGTTCTTCGCTTCTGCCCTCCTTAACTGCCTCCTTAGCTGCCTGAGAAGCTAATGCAGTTATAGTGACTCTCAAGCACTGATTCAGAGGGAGAGGAAAATTGAGACAGAGGAAAGGAAAGAGGGAGAGAGAAGAACACTCTATGGCTCCAATCTCTATTGTGCTCTGGCTCTGCTTCCTGTGGGGTTGTTTGTAAGCCTCTTAAACAGCAGCACTAGGATTACAGGTTCAGCCCTGCTGGGAGAATCCCTGGTTGCATATGGTGGCTGGTCCCACTGTGGCATTCACTTTGGGGCTGCGACTACTGTATTGGAGCTGGTTTTACAAGGACCCACATGGCTCCTATGTGGGCACCCTAAGGGACTGTTTTAGCTGTGCCCATCTTCCTGGATCCTTACACAGCTCTGTTGCATGGAAAGGGTCACCATTATTCCTACTGGGGAGAAGTGGGAGTCAAGACCCAAGAGGCTTAAGCAGCCACTAGAGTCCCTAAAGTTTTTAGGAAGATAAGAGAGTATCCAAAGACTGGATAGGGACAATATTGCCCTGGCTTTTAAAAGGAAGAAAGGAGTGGAGTCCAGGAATAACATTGGTAGCATTTTTGTCACTCTCTAGCAAAAAGTCTGTAGCAAACAGGTTTATAAACATTAAAAGAAGAAAATGGTGATCACCAGCAGCCAACATGGGTTCATTATCATGTCCCATTAAAATGACCGGGTAGCTTTCAGTAAATAGAGTCAATAGGTGTATAAATCAAGATAATTTTATTCAACTTCAATGCAGCAAGTATTAGTGGAGCACCCTCTCTGTTTCAGGTACAAAGTGAAGGGAAATGATGGTTGTACATAAAGCACTTGATGAATCTTACGTAATTCTCTTGCTGTTAGGTGGGTCTGGAACTGATTGAACAACCCTACCCAGGAAGCCTTGATTCATGATTATT